ACCAGCAAGTGGCTCAGCGAAATATCTGTGGTGCTGCAGCCGAGAAGAGACTGGCCATGATACAGCGAAGGATTGCCGATGGAGTTGAAGTGCCTTGTGGGATATTCAATCTCTAGTCCATGACTCAGTGACGGTTTGGTTTACTGGAAGTATTAACCAATTGTGAATGTACTAGTAGTACTTTTTACTTGGTCGCGAGCACTCGCTCAGTGTCGTCGAAATTGCAAAATTTTGGCCAATAAAAACGCAGTCCTCAACAGCTGAAAAGATTCAATGCAATAAAATTTCCAGCAAAACCCAACGTCGAAATATTATTACCTTATACAAATATCAAGATATTGCACTAGTACCACGGGGAAGGTTTTCCGTCGTTCCCTGTAGTACTACTCTGGTCCGAAATAGTTGCTGCCTTCGTTTTGACTTCACAGTCATCAAATTATGGGACTCGATCCAGAAACAACTTAGTATTTGTATGTCACTTCACAAACGAATAAATGAGGCCAAAAGTATATTGTACTTTTATTCAAGACCAAAAGACCTTGTCCTTGGAAATTCAGAAGTGCTTCCATGGCTGCCTCTTCTCCAAGTCGAATGTCAAATGGATCAAGGCACTCTCGTCGTTATAGTTATCGCACTCCACGTAGAAGGTCGTGATGTCGGTTGTCACCGCATCCTTCTTCATATGAAGGAGCTTATAATCTTTGCCACTGTGTACTTGGATGCATTTCTCCGTCACCTCTTAAACGAATGGTTTTGATACCGTGTCCACAAGCAATTCATAAAACGAGGTTTCTACAGCATCATTGAGGTCCCGATTGCTCGAATGCACATCCGATGTTGCGACTTTGACTAGAGTGAAACCATCTCAAGTTTAAGCACACATGAGATAGAGCTCTCTGCGTCTGCCTCGGCACGTCTTTCATTTCTGCCAACCAATCAGAATGCCGTAATCTCAAGTTATGCACTTTGATCCGATATTAAATGTATCCTCCCACATTGAATTCCATGTCTTTTCGGGGACATTCAATTTGGGAGGTTTTGCATGGACCAATGGAACATTTGGGCTTGCCGCGAACGGGGTTTGCCGGGAACAGTCCTCGACGTCAGCGTCGGGAGCTGTGCAGCAACAGGGAGATGGACTCCGACAGTCTCTATAGGTACCATTCGCGCATGTCGCTCATGCGTGCCCTAATGTGTGCACTAGGGACGTGGTGGAGAAAGATGGTGTCCTGCGGGAGATCCTGCGCAGCCAGCCGTGCAACGCGCCGAACGCACTCTTTCACCGTGCCAAGTACATCCTTTTTCTGGAATCTAATGCGTGGACTCATTCATGATGGATATATAGCTTGATGGAGAAGGCCGAACAATTTGTGTCCATGTTCCCAGGTGTCGCCGCGTCAAAGGAGACGGAGCAAGTTCTCTGGAAGCCTTGTTTCTACAAGCGCATCGAGGACTTTCGTCGTCGCATCCGCAAGGTACTCTACTTCCTTGTACTCCTTAGCGTTCCCTCGTCGTCGCGCCGCCCCACATCACCTTGTCTCACTCGTGTTGTCATCTACTAGTACGCCAGTCAATCCGGTAACGACAAGTCGGTCAGAGATCACTTCTTCAAGCTATCTGGTGAATTCCAATCGTTCCTGGACGAAGCTGCCGCGTACTACGAGCGACTACATGGGTATTTTGCCGCTTCAAGATCAGGACATATTGGGGACGCCATCCACCACAGCATGTTTCGCTGCCTCATCTTCCTCGGGGACATTGCGCGGTACCGCGAGCTGCATAGCCAAAAGGCAAAGAAAAACTTTCGAGCCGCGGAGGGCTTCTATCACCGTGCTCTCGAGATCCTTCCAGACAACGGGAATCCGCACAATCAGCTCGCTGTGCTGGCGACCTACGTCGAAGCGGAAACGATTGCCGTGTATCGTTACTGCCGGTCGCTTCTCTTGCCCAAGCCATTTGCGACCGCCGAAGAAAACTTGGTCCTACTCTTTGAACGAAGCCGCCATCGCGCGTTCCCAGCCGTCGGACACTCCGCCTCAATCACGTCGTCGTCCCCGCCGAAAGATAAATCCGCTTACCTCAAAGGATTCCTCCATCGGCTCACGCGGCTTCACGGCCTCATGGTAGCTCCAACTGCTGACGAAGGATACCTTCCGACGCTTGAGGCAAACGTGTGCGAATCGTTCACGTCGCTCCTGGCTGCTGGAGTCCTTGGCGACGCTCTCGTCCTCAAGTTGTTTGCCATCAACATCTATTGCATCTGTCGAAGCAATCCACCGATGCAATCGCTTGCTGTGGGCTTGACGCTCAAGATGGCGACGCTCGTGCTAGGCTTTGTCCACGACAAGCTGTTTCTGCTGGGGCCAGTGAGTGTCCTGTGCGATTTTTTCCGAGCACACCCGCACTATCTCACGGATTCCTCTGATCACGGCACCGTCGTTGCGTCGCCACTTGTGGCGTGGGTAGCTGCGATTGCGACTGCGCTCAACAAACGCCACGCGGATTCCTTCTCGGGGCCGATCACGGACGCTGCCAAGGTGGCGTTGATGAAGCCGCGGCTGAAGGAAACGGTCGAGCTGAACTTCTTTGAGCCTTTGGGCGTTGAATACGCCCTTCGTGGCAGCGAAGGAATTACGAGCGTCCTGCCGGACGTCGAGTCCGCTACGATTCGATGGTCGAACATCCACTGGTTTGCCGTGTCGACGTTGATTCCGCAGGTACCGCTGCCTTGTATTGTCATGCTGCGTATTTGGACCGGCTTTGTGCCTATTTTGTTGGGTCGATTCATGTGTGTGAGTTGTACTTGCCTTACCTTCCATGGTAGCACCTCCTGTATGAGCATCATTGCGTGTGGTCAATAAGCCCTCCAAGCCCTGATGTGGTCTCGCCGCGGCCGCCATCGTTGTTCGGGTTTCCCGGAGGCCCTGCGTTGAGCGACCAACGCACCAAGTACCTATCGAGCGGCACGTCAACGAACCAACCGAGCGGTGACGAGAACGATGACGATGAAGATTGTGGCGAAGTCATTGTGTTCCAGCCCTTGCGGTCGACCCCCCAGCCACCGTCTGCGGCGTCGCTGCCTCGCCCAGTGCTGTCCCCTGTCGCGCCAAGCAGTAGTCTCACGGCGCTCACGGACAGTCCTTCGTTTGGGGGCGCCGATTTGAGCGCGTTCACGCATTTGGGTGGCGGCCTTCGACCGCTGGAAGATCTAACGTGGGGAAAGTCTCCGTCGGTAGTGTGGCATGCAGAGAACACAAGCGTGCCGTCAAACATGATGGGAAGCACCTGGAACGACCTGGATGCAGTGGAGGAAGAAGGCACCCGATATGAGCACCAGACGTCGACATTGAGCATGCTGTTTGAAGCGACGGAAAAGGCCACCCCAAACACCCCACCTGGCTTTCGGAATATGCTCGTCACGACCAACCCGTTCGTCGTCGCACCCAACACATGATCGATCCGAGTCCCTTTCCCTGCCTGCCTCTCCACCAGTTTGGCAAAAGCATTGCCATGGCCGTGTCCCCCGCGGCCGTGATCGTGAAGGCTGTCGTCCTCCTTGCTTATGCCCCTCTAGATAAAGTTTTGCCCGGAATTACAAACCATGCTTGCGCCAACGCTAGAGGCGTTTCGAGTCAGGGCAATACGCGATGAAGCGTTCATGCTGCATTCACGCAGGCCCAGCGCTACATAGCGCCACGTCATCTTGGACCTTTCACTGCAAGAAACAACAGAGCTGCTGACGACATACCCATGTGGTGCCAGCGACACGAACCTCTTCTACTTCACCACGCGGCAGTAGACTCTGGCATCAGAAGCTCTGCCTAGACACCAGCCCTGCATGGACACCAACCAGTGTGCCGTTCGGCGCTATGTGCACTACGGCAGTGCGATCTCTGCAATTTCCGCCGCACGCGACATATTGCGGGGTCGGAACGCGGCAGAGCACCTAACTTCTACTCCAAGCAAGGGCAGCTACATCACAGCTACGCATGACGCAATGCAACTCCCGAGTTAGGACCTCGAGCTACTCCAACAGGTAGAGGGTCGTTGTGCAGGCGAGTGGCAGCACGACAAATGGCACGACGAGTTGGCTCGGCCGTGGCGCAGTCAAGACCAACACGTTCTCGTCATTGCGGGAAAACGACACGTTGGCACCAGTTTTGCGCACGCCAAGCACGTCGCCGGGCTGGCACCGCAGAACGTCGTGCTTGAACGACGTGGACGAGAACGCTGTGCAACATCCGCGCTTGGACGCTTCGACAGCAGACAAGCACGTTGCAGGGCAAAGCCCCACGACCATCGACGACACCTCCATCACTTGCACCACAAACGCACTCACGGGGGTGTCTCCTCGAACAAAAAACTTGCCCAACAACGGCGCCGACGCTTTGGCGTGCAGCACACGTCCGTCCGACGACACGAGTACACCAGGCCCAAACGCAGGCGCCCACTTCCAAGCCACAGTCGGCGTCGTCGGCGCGTCACCCAGCTGCAGATACTCCATCGACGATTGCAGCTGCCGGCATTCCCATGGGTTTAGCCCGTCGACCGAGAGGGTGCCCGTCCGAAGGTAGTCGAGGACGCGCGCAAACGTGGGGCCATGCAGGTCCAGGTAGTACGAGCCACCGTCGTCGGGCGTCCAGTGCTCCGACGCCAAGAGCGCGTGGAAGTAGCTGCCTTCCACGGCCAACAACGTCGCCTTCGACGTCTTGTATACCATGCCGCCAACGTCCAGCGCAATGACCGTCGGGTACAACGCCATGTTTTTCTGGATTTGGGCCTGGAACGCTGCGAGTCGGGCTTCGTGAGCCTCCCATGCCTGCATTTGGCTCTGCAGAGCGTCCATGTGGCCCTTCACCGCGTCCAAGGCGACGGAAAACGACGTTCCAAGTGGGGACGCCATATCGCAATCGTTGGCGTATTGCTGCCAAAGGAATGTGACGGGATGCGCACGGCCCAACTGAACAACGACATGACAGGCCAGGACTTCTGGGACCGTTGGCATCAAATGGAGCTGTCGCGAACAGAGCCTTGATCAAGCACGGGAAACGTCCCTTTGCTCGATGCGACATCGTTTTGTGTCCTTTGGCACGTGAGCCCATGGGCATCATCCAGGAACAACACCTCGACTGCGTAGTCGACAGGGCGCAAGAAATGCCAGAGACGAAAGCGTCATGAGCGATCGATGCCAAGAAATGCCGTCCCGCTCCACAGACGAGCGAAGGGGTCGGTGGCACCCTTGGACTTGGTCCAAACTCTTCAAACGAGACCTCGTACACATGCACACCATTTGGGCGACGTGGAGGGTCCAAAGTTTCGTGGAAGCGCCAATGCAGCCGCATGACATGTCCATGTGGATGGCGGCCACAGGCTCGGGACGGACGTGGAGAGGGATCATGTGGCTCAGGAGGTCGTCGAGGATGTGCCTGCGGTGGGGCGTCCATGTAGGCGATCATTCCCATCGTGGGCTGGACGGTCGCTGTATATTCTGGCACCCCTACGAAGCAAAAGTGGTGGAGTAGCGCGCGCACCTTCCCGGCCGCTGCAGCATCGCTAGACAACCCTGTCCGCCCGACCAACGCCGTGACCCAGGCGTCCCACGACAACTTGCTGACGACGTCCGCACTGGCGCTGTCGGCATCGTCGATGCAGCCGGCAGTCGACGTTCGTGCACTCCCAGTTGCCAACGATGGAGGACAGCGTGGCAATGCCACGTAGTTTGCGCCTGTGCTGAGGTTGTTGTTGTTGGTGTGCTGGTTATATTTGGACCGGAAGCTGGCAAACGAGGCGCGTGTGGCGGCGGATCCCTCGTCAACCGTGATGTTGGTGTCGCAGCAAACGGATCGGCTTTTGATGGCGCATGACGAGAAGATGGTGCTGGGGATGGTGTGGAGGAGTGCGGGGTGGGAGTAGAAGAAGGGTTCGTGGGGGGATTTGGGCGTGATCAAGTCGCCGCTGAGGGCATATTGCATTTGGCAATTTGGACGTTGGTCTGGATGCTGTTATCACGATGGCGACGTTATTCACGGACGCGGCGGTATCGGCAATCGCGCGTGCGTGCGCACAATGGGGGTCAGGTACGACCACGGCTTGTGCACACGCGGGAGGGGGGCATGCGGTTGACAATTGAGCCTGGGTCGACGTTGTCGGAGCGCCGGTGGTGGCAATGGGTCGAGTGGAGACCACCATCGGTGTTATGGTGGCGGAGTTTTGCCGCGGACGGCGATGCAAAACGTTGATGCCTTGAAAGTCATACGTGTACTGGGTGGCGAGGGGCCAGTCAAGTTGCAGTTGCCGTCATTGTGCGGCGAGCAAATGGCGCATTGCGTGTTACCGAGCAAGCGGTGTGGGAGCAGCGGAGAATGAGGACTCGTTGTCGCGGAGGATGTACGTGTTGGCTTGGATGGGGTCGCAGGAGGGAGCTTGGGCCGCGGCGAGGGGGCGAGAAGGGTCACGAGGACAGGTGCATGGGCCAAACGTAAAGTGATCTTAAGTCGTGGGGCGTATGACAGGGGAAATTGCAGGGGTAGCTGACTTGGTAAATTGTTCCGACTGCCGTCACGTTGGCGGATAGACTTGCGTATCGATGCGTTACTTGGATTCGCTCACTGAAAACCCAATTGCATTCGACCGTCCTGGCATTAGAAAAGGACGAGTGTATCGAGTTGTCTCCATCGGTAGTCATCACAGCGCATGGGTGTGTTGTCACGATAGGAGACGGATAGCGCGATCGAGTGGTTCTCGTGCGATCGCGATCGTGGCAGGAATGGATGTCCAAGGGGAGTTCGACGTGCTGCGGGGGACCGCCGTGCCGAAGGCAGCATGCGACGACGCGCTGCAATGTGTGTAAACTTGTGATGGAATTATGCGAACCACGTTGAAATGCAGTCTGGTGGAATGTACAAGGCTTGTCTCTCTTATCGCATTCGGCGCTGGTGCTACCTAGCCGCCTAGTTGGCCCCGACGTCGAATTCAACGCCCTCGTCAAGGGTTACGCGGAACTGCTCGTCACTTCTCGTCCCTACCTTGACGGGCAAACGCAGTACTTGTCGTCGCAGAGAGAAGGTGAAGGGACTCTTCAAGCATCTCCGAGCTCGGTGTTGAGAGGGCGTGTAAGGCTCTTTATCGAGTCACGTGAATGCCGTTGTCATGCCAAACCCAACGAGAACATAGTTTGGGACGAGATACGACGACGGTCTTGACCGCAGTGCCTCGGCAAACTACGTGGCATTGCCACGCTGTCCTCCATCGTTGGCAACTGGGAGTGCACGAACGTCGACTGCCGGCTGCATCGACGATGCCGACAGCGC